TCAACAAGCGCTTGGGCGCTTGGACCGGATAACACGGTTTTCCCGGGTTTTCTGGGGACTACTGCACTTTACTCATCGCGTACGACTGGTATCTAAGGTCCTCATGCACCACAAGCCTGATAGTGGACTCTACCACCTCGAGCTGCTTGGCAATGACCCTCATTGACTTGGATTGTCATTCACAATGTTCTGCACAGCTGGACAAACTTAGCCGTCCTGACAACGTCTGACTGCTGGGAATTTTTTTTTTTTTCGTTTGGCCACTGATGAAACGTTCTCATCAGTATCCGAAAGCTGTTTTCGGACCTTAAAATAAAGGACCTGACCCATTCAAGCATGGTGGCTATATCCAAATCGCAGTGGTGGGCGGTCAATGCAACCAGGACGGCATGCCTTCCTAATTTATTGTGTCAGACCGGAAGCTGCCATTTTGAAATTGGTAAGTACACTAGATAGATGACATAGATGCAGTCAAAGACGAAGTCAAGCGTCTAGACAGATGTATTCAGAGTATGAGAAGTTATGCAGCCTGAAGATGTGTTCTCAAATACCTCGCGCACCCTATACGTAACCGATTTTATCTTGTACACTCATGCAGATACTAAATAGCTACAAAAAATCGTAAGGGTGCAGGCGAGCTGGTGAATATTAGCCATGTTGAAATTAACATGAAACTGGGGTAGAGAAGAAACATCAAAACGTAGAAAGGACAGAAAATAGACAGGACGACGTCTCAAATTGGAGACGTCGTCCTGTCTATTTTCTGTCCCTTCTACGTTTTGATGTTTCTTCTCTACCCCAGTCTCAGGTTAATTTCAACATGGTTACTAAATAGCTCCACGCAAGCCGGCGTTTTTTTTTCTTCAGGGGAGCGCTTGACTGGTGGTATACGTTCAAACCAGCGCTGACATCAGGACTCGTCTATGTGGAGCAGATGGGGGGGGGGGGGGGGGGGGGGGGGAGCCCATTAACGCGAAAAATGCCGTTATCATCTGCGCCCGAGTCACTGCGCGGTCTGATTGAAATGGGGAGAGGATTCACCAAACGGGCGAGAGCGGTGAAATAAGCCGTTTTCTTGACCGAGCTTTGTAAATGTATACCTTTATCTTTCATTTACTCACCGTTATTCCAATTCTTTTATATTTTTTTAGAAAAAAAAATTAGAGTATATAATTATATTCTGCATGCATATTTTATTAATTACAATAAAAAAGGTTTTAAAGCGCTAAACGAATGGATCATAGCTATTTTGATTAATTTTTTCTCCTCGCCCTCAACGAGTAGTCGCCGAGCTTGCCGTTTCGAGAATCCTCTCCCCTTTTTAATCAGGCTGCGATGACAAAGTCGCAAAAAACAAAAGCGCTTCTTAAAAAAAAAAAAAAAATCAACGTCCGACACCCGCTGGAGTGGAGATATTTAGTATCCGCATGACTGTACAGTCGGGAGCAAAAGTTTACGGGGCACGGCAGCGCGTGCCGAAATGCATCGCCGCGCCGTGCAACGGCGCGCCGCCGCATTAAAAAGCCGCGCTTTGCGCATGCGCGCCCTTCGTGCTGGCAGTCATGTGTCTTTCGCTCGTTTCTGTCCGACTCACTGCTGATAACCGGAGTCGGCGCCAGGGGCGCAAGTTTCCGTTTCGCTGGCTGTCATGCCTCGCGTCTGCTTCAGCTGTCTCAGCAGCCTCGCTGGGTGATAAAGCGCCTGGTTACCCCACCCTGCGAGCTCCGTCACAAAGCGCGACGGCTGAGGTAGCTCAAGCAGACGCGCAGCAGGCGCAGCATGACAGCCAGCAAAGCGCTAACTCGCGCCCCTGGCGCCGGCTCCTGTTATCAGGAGCGCGTCGGAATGAAACGAGCAAAAGAGACATGACAGCGGGCACGAAAGGTGCGCACGCGCAAAGCGCGGCTTGATAATGCGGCGGCGCGCCGTCGGACGGCGCGGTGATGCATTTCGGCACGCGCTCCCGCGCCCCGCAAACTTTTGCTCCCGACTGTACATCCTCAGGCGATATGAAGGTGAACGCCGGACCGTCGACTGGTCCCTTTAGACTGTCCCTGCTATCAGCGCCATGACGCAACTGCCGTGGCGGCTCGCTTTCTTGTCGCGCTCTTCGCCGAGATTAAGCGCTTGGATTAGCCGCCTCGGTGGCTCCGGGGCGAGAGCGCCGGCCTACGGATTTCCACGTGGCGGGTTCGAATCCCGGCCGAGGTGCCCGCAGTCTGACGGAGGCTTATTGCGGTACAGGCGCCGTGTAACCGAGCTTTCGGTTGCACGTCAAAAGATCCCCAGGTGGTCGAAATTAATCCTCAGTCCTCCGCTGGGGCGTGCCAGATGCCCGTCGTTGGCTTGGCACGTAAAACCCCTAAATTTGATTTAAGCGCTTGGATCAAGCGCTGTTCTCAGCTCTGCTGCTACTCCCCGCAGAAAGCGCGATGATTGCGGAAGGAGCCTTTCAGACGCTATCGGTAGACGATGTGATTTAGTAATTCTTTTTTTTGTGTGTGTGTGTGTGATATGTGCTAAACCAGAAAGCTGCGGAACAAATAAAAAAAGTAACTTATGCTTTCCGTTTCTTAAAAAAGAACAGTTATTAGCGTTCGCAGTTATTAGGGAGTTTTAGTAGACTGTGTTTCCCCCTCCGCTAAGCCCCTACGCTACCCGGAACTCTACAGCCAAGGCCATCGGCGCAGGCGCAGTGGCGGTTTCTTCGTTGCGGAGGGGGAAACGCGGTCTACTAAAACTCCCTATTATACTTCGTTCCAGCTTAGGTCCGAGCGCGGCCGATGTTATGAGCCGAAGGGCCAATCATGCAGCGCAAAGAGCGCAGCGTCATGGCTAGCGTGACCACCTTCCTGTCAGCGAAATGCGGGACACGCGTGGTAAGGGGGGGGGGGGGGGAGGGGGAGGGTAGAGGAAATTTATGAACACGTACACAACGAACCGAGGCTCTGTTAACCCAGTTATTATCTTGTACTGCTTATACACCTGCTAATTGCATTGCAGCAATTAAGCACAAATAATTTCCACTACCAGCAATATTTTTATTGCCAAACATGTTATAAATGTGTCGAAGTTTAGGACATAATAATTGACTGCATCATAACTCAATGCATCAAACGGAAATAATAAACACAAAATCTTTTTCGGGTCATTGTTTCCTGTCAACGCTTACTTTTACCAACATGGTCCCACACAAATTTTTTTAACGTTATGTTCTTTTTCGATCGTTGCGAGTGTGGCTGTTTTTACTAAAAAGAAAATCCACAGCAAACCTTTCGCGTTGACATAGCAATTTGAAAATAATTATAATAATTTGTATTTAAACTTTTGGCGTGATATTTTTCTTACGATATTTTTCCACCAAAGGGAGAGGCACAACGGCGCATGCTCGTCGGTTCTCCTACAAGAACCACGGTCGCTTTTCGCAATACTTGGATAGAAAATGGCACACCACTGCGGTTCGCATGATTACCAGTCACCTCGGCGCTTCCCCGTGCCCCCTTGATGGGCAGCACCATGAGTTGCAGGGTAAATTTTACGACAGTGGTGAAATGCGGGACATTTTGAAGATTTCGGAATTTTTCGCGGGACGCAGGACACGAACCCTCAATGCGGGACAGTCCCGCGAGTCGCGGAACGGGTAGTCACCCTAGTCATGGCGTGTTCTCTGCTCTTTATAGAGCTAGCCGGCAGAGGAGCACGCACAGAGAAACGGCGAATTCGGCTCATAACATCGGCCGCGCTCGGACCTTAGCTGAAACGAAGTATAGCGTTCACTCATGAATGAAAAAAAAAAAAAAAAGCGGTTGAGTCACTGATAAACCATGCCGAAGAACGTCCGCTCTAGTTCACGTGTAATGTGCAAATCATTTGCCGGCAATGACGGGGGCACGGCGCCCACAAAAAGCGATGCCGAAATTGAAACCCACTTTCACGCTTTCTGCAGGGAGTAGCATCAGAGCTGAGAACAGCGCTCAATCTAAGCGCATTATCTTGGCGAAGCGAGCGATAAGAAAGCGAGCCGCCACGGGAGCCGCGTCATGGCGCTGATAGCACGAACCGGTCGACGGTCCGCCGTTCACCTTCACATCGCCTGCGGGTGTACATATAATATTGAATTATGCCTAACAAAAAGAGCTAAGTTCGAGCTTGCTGGTGATATCGAGGTAATTATACTATCTTAAATAGGTCACAGGTAAGAACTTACCAAACGTTGCGAAAAATAATCAAAGAAACACAGTTCGACCATTTTGTTTTTATTATTAGAGAAAAAAAAAGATGCATTAAGCATAATGAAATCTCTTTTGAGAGTGTCACAGAAGAGTCCTAGTGCAGTATTTTGAGAAGTGACAAAAGAGCGAGCGGTCAAACATGCAAATCATTGACGGGTGAGAGTAACGTCAGTTTGCGCCTCAATAAAAAAAAAAAAAGCGTGCAAGTTTGTTGTTTGCGCTCTTTTTCATTTCAAGAATGACCCCTGAACATGTACATTTTATTAATTAATTTTAATTATTTTAATATATTATTTTATTAAATTATTGAACCCGTGGCCTGAGCTGGGACGAAAACACCCAAATAAGTTTTTTTTTTTTTAATGCGTTGTTTTTTGTGATTTCTCGGTGAAAAACAGGATCGACTGACATCTGACCGATTGTAATGGTGATACCAGTCTTTTGTATACACGTTCGCAAGTGCGGTCTCAAGGCGCCGCCATCTTGCCCAGTGGATTGCGCTTGGGCGCGGCCGTAATGCGATTATGACGCCTTAGCAAGGCTTCGTAATCGGATTAGGACGCGTCCAAGCGCACCCTGCGAGCAAGATGGCAGCGCCCTGAAGCCGGACTTGCAAACGTGTATTGTCTACAGTGCGTTTGTGAATATCAACATGTGGGTGGTGTTTGCATACTCGGTCAACGCGTTCAAAGTGCGCGCACTTTCCGTTGTCACGTGGCCATAGCACCACGTGATAGCGCCAGGGTGCTTGCTGATTCCGGTCTTCCAGACGCTCCGAAAGGGGGAGCCAGGAGTCGAGGCGTTTCAACGAGCATGCGAGAGCGATGCTGGCGATACTACCATGCTACGTCGCTTGGTGGATAAGATTCGAGGTTTAGGGAGGTTGCAGATTCAAAGGAAGCACGATAGTCAAGTGCCTCTGTGCTGTCCGTTGTTAGCTCGTACCACCCAAGTTCATTACTGCAAAAAAGCAGTTGGCGAAAGGATGGATCTTGTCGAAAAAGCGAAGGAAGCTGCGGCTCAAAGGGCTGTTGACAACCACATCAAAGTATGTAAGATCCACAGTCGATCCAACCAACCTTTTGTTTTCATCGCACTTGCGTGTAAAGAAGAAAGGAGAAATTACGTTGTTGTTTTTATCTCTCTCAAGTGTCACTACATATTATGCATGCTGGACCCGGGGCGCTCATAGAAAATGTTGACTTTTGGCGTAACGTGAGCAAGTTGAAAAACTGAAGGTTCCGTGTGACCCTTTCGATCGTCTTGCATCACGAACACTGGTAGCCCGCCAATATTTGATTGGCTTTGTACCTCCTTACAGAAGGTAAAAAGTTTGGTTTCGAGAATTTGGTAACTTCAGAAGGACAAATTGACAGCACATATATCCGTTAAAGATTCTGTATCTGCGCTCCTCTGCGGCGTTCAGTCAAGGACCAAGTAATCGGTTGAAGTGTCTTTACCGTGATAAGAGTGTAAGCAGCCGTTTCCAACTCCGACTTTCTTCACCGGGCAACCTTTGGATAAACATGAGAACTTTTCAGACTTTCAGGTTTCCCACGTTAAGCTGTGTTGTGTGCAAATTTTAGTTTGAAGCCTTTAAATTCTAGTGTTTGGTCAATAAAAGTTCACAACACATTTACCTCTTTGATCTCGGCTTCAGATAAAAATAATGGCTAAATTCTGGGTCCGAGCCAGATGTAAGTGTCGTTATACTAGCTTTACTAAGTGTGAGCAAAAACTCTCCCATTTTCATAAGTGGGTTCTGGAGGCATTGCTCGTAGCCTCAATTGCATTGTGACGTGAAAATATTTGCTTTCTTCATAAGCATAAAATTGCTTTCAACCAAGGGGCAAGTAATCATTTGAGTTGAGGGCCTAGGTTGAACATTCGTCACCAGATGGTCACGTGCCACCGCCTTCCTTATTCCGGATAGCATTATTACTAAATTGTCTCAGTTGGCGAACTCCCATCGATGCATGTTTGCAGGAGTTGAATGCCCACTTATCCAGTATTCAACATTCGATTGAGATGCTATCTTCCGTGCAACAGCTTTTTCTTGAGTCTTGGGGTTTTCTCTTAAATTATGTTCGTCCATCACCAGCCAATTTGAGCCCTAACTTTTTGTTCTTTGAAACAGTATTCTGTAACATCCAGTCGCTTTTCAATTTTGTATCATATTGAGCTGACTAATCAATTGCCAAGCATCGCTACCTTTCTAGCAGACGTTCTTGTCAACCTGTGTCTTGAAAGACAGGACCTGCTCAATGTTTTCTGAGAAATCATTTTTTTAATTCACAAAAAAAATAACAGGTCAAGCTGCAAGATCTTCATCTCACTTGTGATGTCTTGTACAAAAGCATGTAGAAATCACTGCACTGCAGATCAGTAGTCCTTGTCAGAGACTAGCAGGAGTTTATTTTTCGCCAAATTTGGAGGGTTTTTTGCGGAGTTTATGGTTTGCCAAAAATTTGGAGTTTATCGGAGTTTAGTTTTCTTCGATTTCCAATTCTTTGAAATTTGAAGCTTATATTTACAGTGTTTTTTTGTTTTTATAAAAAAGAAACTCATAGCTGGGTTTAAATGTGTGCTAGCTTCAGAAGAACAAGCTTGTATCAATTATTATTTTTTTCAAATGGATGTGGTGTTCATGCCATTGTCATTGGCAATACTAATTTGTCCCATGACAAATGTGGCAAACAAGTGTTTCTTCGATGAACGTCGAAACCTTAAAATCGATAAACTCCTGGAGTGGGTAGCTAGGAAGCTCGTATTCATCCCATCCTGTCCATCAACCTACCCCGCAGCTGCACTGGGTAGAGTGCCAAAGGGTGTAATATAGAGCTTTCAAGTGCACGCCCCCTCTTCCCCTTCTATAAAATCTGTGTGGTTCACAGCTTTTGCAGTTACAAAATACAACCCCTCCTTCCTCTAAGAAGCACTATGGCCCAAAACTAGAAGCCGGAACAGTGACTTTTGTCGTGACCCAAAAGACCTGTTGTCCTGATGAACCTTGTTAATATAAGCGTTAAGATTCCTTTTGTCAATGGAGCGAGATTTGAAAGGAAACTGGGGTGACATTTTCTCAAGACCATTGAGCCTGTGCACTGTCCAAACTTAATTGTAAAATAGTATTTTTTTTGGCATTGGTTTATTGAAGTTTGGAATTTATCGGATAAATCCAAATTGATGAAAATTTTACCGGCGGGTGTTTTTCGGTGTTTCTTGGATTTATCCGAATACAGGGAACCCTAATTATGACATAACTGGTGTGCGCAAAAGGTTTGTTTGCTTTATCTGCCCACTTCTAATGCAAAGCATGTACGCCAGTCATTTTTTTTATGACATGTTTCCCATTTTGGCAGAAAATTTTAGATTTTTTTTTTGTTGTCTTTTTTGAATATTTGGGTGATACAATACATTTGAAAGGTTTCTCTGCCAGTGAAGTAGAGAAAAGTATAGTCAAGTGGAAAAATGAAGGGACCAACTGCTCACACCTGGACTGATTTTCACCTCTGCACTTGGGAAGGTAGGAGCTATGTGTGCTTGAGTATGTCTGCAAAGGTGGTTCAGCTTTGTGAGCACTTACTTTAGATTCTAGGCCTCCCAAAGCTATAGTCACTGACAGAATGAGAACGGCGCAGGGGAGCTTTAAGGTGCCTTTCTCCAGCACGAATTTCCTACGTTCAATGATGCTTTGGTGTCTCGTAAGCCTCGATTGTACACGTGCAACTGAAGGATGGGAAGAGACGACGAGTGCATGCTGGAGGCCAGGCGTTTGAGGGAGATGCTGTGCCGTTCTCATCTTGTTAGTGACTATAGTTCCATTACCTTTAGGTTCTACAGTCCTATGTCTAAGAATGCTTGCCCTGTTTTGCATTTCTTCTGCAGAACAACTTCGTCGTTGGAATTGGGAGTGGCAGCACTGTCGTCTATGCTGTGGAGCACCTTGGTAAAATGCCTGCTTTTTAGTATTCTACAGTTAAACCGGCGAAGGAATGTTATTTGGCAGGCTATGAGCCCTGGGAATATGTTGCCGAAAGGCAACATATTCCTATTATTGGGTCTTGAAGCTTTGCGATGGCACTAACTCTGAAATTAGCCGAGAGGTGGTTTATTTCCCTGCCTCATCATTTATAGAAATGGGCATGAACAGGTTCTGTCAGCTTTGGTCAATCAACTACCGAGCTTGACATCTATTGAGAAAGCACAGGTATCAGAGAGGTGGAAATGTTGCGTAGTGGCCATTGAAGCAATAACTTATATGGTACGCTTTACTTGTTTTGGCAACATAACCAGACTTGAAAGTCTGGTTGCAGTGATTAAAGAATTAGAAGAGGGAACTATTTTTTATATATAAAATTTTTCACATTACAATGCATTGTGAGCAATGTAATGCTGCATTGCTCACAATGTTGACGAGGGGTGCTCTACAGCCTTTAAGAGGGCGCGGTACCTCTATTTATTTGTCCGTTTCAGCCACCAGATGGCGCGCGGCTCGAAACGTGGTTGAACGCGCAACTTCTAGATGGCGCCAGTATCGAGGTGTGAAAAGGCCCGCGTTATCCGCTGCGTGAAATAGCTCCCGAAATGTGCCGTGTTCTCCCGGCGGAGGAAGTTTCTCCTTCCCCCGCGCGCGCTTGGTATGTACGCGCGTCGCGCGGTGGCCGAGTCCGGCCTCTGCGCTGTGTGATGCAGTGGGTGGCGCTCGTCTCTGTTCGGAGGTAGGAATAAAAATGCCGGTCCCCTTTTTTACGACGCTCGTTTCTGTAGCTTGTTTTTCTTTTTTTTATCTCAAGTGACCTACAGTACCGCCTGTTCGAAATCGTCCTTTGCGGTGAGCGATTAAGAGTCAGGTTAGCATTTTATTTGGGTCAGCACTACACGTTCAATGGAGACCTCGGGCGGCGATGTAAATATGCATTGCTCCCCAAAGTGTGTCCAAGGTGCGCAATGACAATTCGAAAGAGTATTGAAGGCGCGCGACCGTCGGTTGGTAAAATACGTGCGTTAGATTCACTTATTCAGTCTAATCATTTTTGCCAACGTCTTTTATCCGTTTCGACAAATGACATGGTCGTGTCTATTGATAACCTTAGCTAGATTGGACGTACGAAGTGTCCGGGTTTTAAATAAATTTGCTTCGTTTATGTGATTGAATAACTGTTTTCTCTTTTCCGTGCTCGGTGCTATGCAAAAATCGCTGACATGTTATGGTAGCTCAGTGTGGTGGCGTTTTGCACGCTGACTCGCTATTGCATTCGCTGTGCACAATATGTGTTCAGATGGAATGTGCTAAATCGTATTTCCGATCGATATGATAGATTTACTTTGCTACAGTGTTAATTATATTTTCCCGATTTAAACTGGTTCGTCCCTGATCTGAGCCCAAGTTCAAATTCGAAGGGCAGACAGACTTAGCGTCGTAACAGCCGTAATGCCGCCCACAAAGAAATTAGTAGCATGAAAGAAAAACAAAAGGATACGAGGTGGCTCAGTGTTATAGAAGTAATCAGTGTGCAAGAAATGCCATCGTACGTGTTTTTTTTTTTTTTTAACTCTCCGCATTGCTGGTAAACGCTCAAGGTACCAGCAAAGACAGCGAGCTGGCGTGAAATTTCCATCGAGCGGAAAACGAGTGTCATTTTTATTTTATCATGCGCTTTCATTTTGATATGGCTCAAAATGGGCGCGAAATAGTAACAGGTAAGGCAACAAAATTTAGATGTTAGGTCTGGAGAACCGCCTTACTCAACCGTGTTGGGGGCATCTCTCGCGAGTCAATACGGCAAAGGTATTGCGCGTCGAACTGTACGTGAGAGTTATCCATTTCAGCGAAACCTTGATTTCGCAAAACTATTGTGGCTCGAGTCGTGGCTTCCAGTACTTGGAAGCCACGAGCGAGAAATGAATGACAGTTGATTTTGAAGAACAATCGCGACGTGGAAACCCATAAAAGAGAGTTCCAATAAGACGAGAGCTTCCCCTTCTCTTCAAGTGCGTGGGTTACGCTCTCAGTCCTGCACCTGTGGTAACACTGCAGGCTCCTAAAATCGCTTTAAATACGTTCCTGATCGCAACAACTTTTTTTTTTTTTTTGTCGAGGCGCTATTTCATTTTTTTTTTTCTTTTTGTCTACCTTGATACCCCATGAACGCAAAAACTACCATAAACTAAAAAAAAAAAACAAATAGTGGGCCTACAACGACAACGCACCCACTGGGACCCGAGTCAAGGCAAGAACAACTAACTACTAAAAGGGGAAAAAAATCATGTTCGCATACACAGACAGAACGCCTCCATCGAAAGAAATGAATCATGCGCTTGTTCTGCCAGTCTCGTTGTGCGTCTGTCAAAAGCCACAAAGGAGGAAGACAATCAGCGCCTATACCACTCCCCTCCCTCCCCCCCCCCCCCCCCCCCCCCCCGCCTCACCACCACCCCTAAAAAGAAGAAAAGAAAGGTTTCTTGGGCGCGCGCGCGGTCGCCCAAGCGATGACCTTGGAAGGGTATGCGATTGTAGCACGTTTGTCCCCCGGTTGTGGCCCTGTCTCAAATGCCACGGTCCGTTTCTCCCAAGTGCCCGTCTTATCTTCCCGAGTATCAACTCCGCAGTGATTCTGAATCATTCCGATGCTTTCCAACGTTGCAAAACTGTTAGACGAATATTTGCGCAGAAGTATACACTGTTCGCAGAACTATCTACGGCGCTAAAATTCAAAAGCGTCGTGTTGGATTTGGGAACTCGTGTAGGTTTAGCTCATTGTTGGAACATTCTTATTCGCTCGATGAACTCCACAAAACGTGTAAATATTAGAATGAACTTTCCAGAGAACGATAGTTGTTGTCGGGGTTCCAGGCGACCGGACAGGTCGCAATTATTGGCTGATTAAAAATTTTATTTCATAATCACAATCGTATCATCAAGGGCACGCCATTTCCTCATCACTTCTTCTACGAAAAGAGTTGCTGTATTCGTAGCACACACAGACGGAAACGGTTGAGACTGTGCCCAAATAATATCTTCTTTTGGCAGGTACTGCGCAGCGATTACACACAATGCCTCTAACATAAACATGCTGCTCCACATGTCTATTCACAAGATGCAATACATCGTTCTACCAACTTTGTCGAAATTGGCATGAAAGCGCGTAACCGTCACTTTTTTGAAGTTCTACTTAGAGGTGAAGTGTTTACCGTAAAAAGTCGTTAATTATTTATTTTTTTCCGTTCCACTACAAAGCTCGATTCACTTAAATTTTTGTTTTTATATCGTCTCTACAGCGCTTTTACGTCGGTACTTTCGTGTAAGAGGACATCACATAATGTGCGAAAAAAAAACAAAAAAAAACGGTGGGATCGATGCTGCATAGCCTTTTTTTTTTTGTGGACATCACTTCGCACTGCATGTTTTAGCACGGAAGTTCCTATTTGGTTATGATGTCTTTACTTTCTTAAAAATTGTATACAGTAATTTAAATTACCGAATTACAAAAAAATCGAAATTGTATAATTGCTTTTCGTTGGGACGCCATGACGACAACGACACTCGTGTTCCCTCGTGGTTTTCGCCAGCATTTCTACGATGAATTGCCAGGATCGCGAGATGCAACAGCGTGACACTCCGTCTTCTGTGACGTCATTTGTTGCACTTCGGGACCACTTTTGATGTATGGCCAGCATAAGACGCTAAACACACCAGTCGGAGACGCGCTGCAGGTGCCATAGTACAGCTCCTAAACGTAGCTGTCACGTGCTTTGCTCCGCGACTGTGATTCCCTCACAGCAGCTCTGACTGAGGGTTGCCAAATTACGGTGAAACGGAGTATAGACAAAACAGACCGGAAACGAGCTGCCAGGATACGATAGTCAAACTCCAACAAAAAGGATTAGTTTCTTCCCAAGCTGGACGACATTTACCGGGCATTTTTAGAGCTGCGAAGCTGAAAATCACGCGTACTCATAATGTTTTTTTTTTTTCTCGCGTGTTTGTGATTTTTATGATGTCCTGCAAGCAAGAAAAAAATATATATGGTGAAGTCACTCCGAGGGGGTACCGATAACTGCGAGCCACGAACATGAAGGATTCGCTAACATCCGTCAGGAGTGTGAACGGTAAATCGTCACGCAAACATATTCTCACAAGCTGCAAATATTTATTTGGCTTAGCAAGTAGAATACTAGTATACTAACGACATGTGATTATTGTACACAAGATACCATTTCTCGGTTCTTCAAAACCATTTCCCTAGTCTGAACGGTCGCGCTACGGGCCGCGGCTAGCCGGGCCCTCGATAGACTACGGAGCTGCGTTGTGTCGTCTGCTACTGTACCGCCAACAGGAGAGCGATAGCTCTGTGTGCTCCACAGATGCGTGTTGCGGTATAACTCTGTACGTCTGTCCTAGAGGAAGACAAAAAGATAGGCTCTGTGACCCCCTCCTAAGCTAACAAAAACAAACAGAAGTATACTCGTTTGGACTGAAGGGTTTACAAAATAGTGACCAGGCATTGAAAAAGCATATGTCGCAGAACTTGGTTTATGAAATGGCATCATTGTTTCGAGCAAGAAATCACCTGCTCACCACTGGGACGATGAAATCGTCACTATTTATTGCGTCAGGTATATTTGCGCTCATGAAGAAAAATCTGAACACATCCTTCTCCCAAAGTCCTGTGTCGAATAATAAACACTTTTTTAAATATCTATGCACAAATAACTCATTTTTTTCTACACTTGTATATACACGTTAATTAAACAACGTCAAACCGCATTTTTGATTAGATCTTGATGTCTACACCAACCACATTCATATTTTTTAGGGCTTTATTGAACGATAACTTCAACTATAGTTAATGTAACACGATGGCTCGATCTCAACAAAAACCTCAACGTGCGAAGCTTCCACAGACGGTCGCTTGCGAGTATTCTCAACGTGAGACTTCAGAAGCTTTCGCTTGCCATAGGGAGCTTGCTTTCGACTACAGCACTGCACGGGCCCGGAAAGCGTGGAGCGCGCTGCTGTGGGGAGAGGTTGACTTACAAGATGACGTGTTACGTGGTCACGTAAGATGGCGTCATTTCGTGCAGCGTGATCACGTAAGATCACGTCATTTCGTGTAACGAGATCATGTAAGATGACGTGTTTGTGTCACGTGATCACGTAAGATGACGTCAGTTCGTATGAACTGACGTCACCTTACGACAACGCCAACAACATTAGTGCCGTCCGGAACCATTGACCTTAGAAACGCGCCTCTTCGCTTGAAGAGCTGATATGCGTTGATTGTTATTTGTTTCTTTTGCCTACTCCAGACCATTCAAAAACTCGCCTTCTGGGTGCCACCAACTTCGTCTACTGGGCTGTAAAGCGCGTTCGAGCGTGCGGAATACCTCTCTAGGCCGAAAGATTGTACACTGAGTATGCGTTCACAGCTCAATGACTTAGGCATTTTTCTTCAGGATAAATGCTCCCACGAGAAGAGCGTAATGGATATGTGAATCGAATTGGAAATTTAAAATGTTCTTGTCCAATCGCATTTTTCTTTGGTTATCAACGCTTTTTAGCGTCATCACAAGACGTTCAACCCATAATACACTGGTGATTAAAAAATAAGCACCGAAAAACATGCACCGATTTTCGCTCAAAAATAAACACCGGAAAAAACATACCGTAATCATTACCCATGTCACCTTTTTGGGTGATATGTGAATTTCCAGAAGAACAGCGAGTTATCACCCTCCCCTAGGAATACCCTGACTACAGAGCAGGCGACCCGTTTTTCCCCGCGTTAGATTGCGGTGACCACGAACCGTACGGAGGTCACAGGACGTCCGTGAAAAATAAAAAGGAGGCAAACAACAATCTACTCTGTGCACGCTTCATCCCCGATTTCCACGACCCCAAGGCCGAAGGACGTTTGTGTGAAGGATAACGATAAAATAAAACTTTGCGTAAAAAAAAAGCCCGTTTTTAAAAGAAAAAAAAAGTAGAAACAAGCACAACGCGTTGACGGACCGCGAGGTTGTGGAACACCTCGCGGTCCGCTTGCCACAGGACGGTTGTCTTCGACCCATAGCTCCAAGGTGAATTTGCCACTTGCGAAAACACGGAGACCTACCCAGCGAGAACCAGGAAGGCAAGACACGCACACTGACGCCTCGGCGTGCAGAATGAAACAGGATACGGGCGCGGAATACGGCCGCGGAAGAACACCTCGCACAGTGCCGATCCGGCCGATCTCCGAACGGACGATTTCGCATTTCGTGGACAGCGAGCGCCACCGCACGGGAGAGAGAGGTACCTTAAAAACGACGAAAACAAGCACCGACACCTTGGTTCTTTATATTTGCTGTAGTTACGGAACAAATCGACTTACATGAATAATTTGAATATTATTCGATTCCGTAATAAATTTAGAAGACACTAAGCGCAATACCTCTTATGTTTGAATTTATATAATTTTGTAAATTCGCTCCGAACGCAAGAGTGCCGAATTAGCCAATTTTGACCATTTTCATGATTTTTTAAAGAATATAATTAAATTTATGATGAAACATTTGTTGCGCTTAGTGTCTCGATAATGACTCAATGTCTTTAAAGCCGAAATTTTCAAGAAGATCCGCGCAGCCTTTATTATGTGAGAATTTTTTTAATTTGGTGAAAAACCTCATGTATTCTCTATGGGGCTCTGAGGTGCGCCCCCTCTTAAGGTGCATCACACAACTGACCTAATGTGCTCCGACACTGAATTATGCTTTTGATAAATATTAGTTTCCATAATATATATGGATGTTTTGGAGCCTTTAGAAACTTGAAGCTAGATTATTGTTTTAGCACACATGATAGCTTACTTAATGTTCCAAAGTAAGCAGGCCTTCATGAAATGTCTTCCTGCATTTCTTGTCAAACTGAATTATATTATGGGTACACTTTGTGCACTCTGCTTTGTTCTCTGTGTAGCATCTTCCATAAGTAGTATATCACCACAGAAAACTGAAGAACAAAATTTGTTGCCAGGGTCGTTTAAACTTCCATCACTCTCGCAGCAACCCAGGGTATATAACGACTCCAGGCTGTGATGTTTTTCTTTTTTATTGCGTTAGCATTAGAACGCACGTTTTGAAGAAAACCTGGTGGTGTCTTTTGTTTGTGACGTGAGCATGCTTCAACCTCTCTCTCTCTCCCCAGCGCTGACAAACTGGCAGACACCGCCAGGTTTTCGTCAAAACGAGCCCTTTCGTTTTCGGCAGTCACGCACACGGCTGGCGCAGAGCCAGAGAGGAAGAGGCGCCGCTCAACACCTCTTAGTGGATAACAAAGCCGTAGTGCTGAACGAGATGGGTTAATTAGGGAAGGCCAATGCTGGACACAGATTGGAAACGAGTGCTGCATCAGCGCTCGGCTTCGAGTCAAGTTTGAGCCAAACGTTGACGCAGTTATCGTGTCCAATCTGTGCCCAGCCTTCGCCTTCACTGATGATGCCATTTATTGAACACTACGGCTTTGTTATCTAGATTCTAGAAGGTGTTGCGCCAAGGCGCGGTGGAATGTGGGAGTGCTTAGTTGCTGCTCTGCTGTCACCGGTTGTTCTTCGCTTTGGGTTTCTGTAGTAGCAGTGCGTGGGCTGTGACATGCATGCATTGCTAAAAAGATTAATGCGGTTCACTCCACAAGTGATATGGATGCGGTTCTTTCCATGAGTGATATGGATGGCCGCGTCCAAGGGCGTCGACATACTCTGACAGGCAGAGTACAAAAAAGGGGTGAAGAAAAATTACAGGAAGATCCATTGGTGGATTTTTGGGGAATCCGTTAGCATGACCATTCGGAAACGCCACACACGTCTCCCTTTGGGAAACGCTAACACTGATCCCTTAATGAAACCAAAAAGAAAAAGCAGGAGAGAAAGCCAAAAAAAAAAAAAAAAAGCGAAGGGGTCAGCATTGGCGTTTCCCAAAAGGGGACGTGTGTTGCGTTTCCAAGGGTCATGCTAACGCATTCCCGAAAAATCAACCAATGGATCTTCCTGTATTTTTTTTTTTGCTTTTTTCTAATGTGTCTGTTTGTGTGCTGCAGCCCGAAGAATAAAGGAGAATGACTGGAAGATAAGTTGTGTACCAACCTCATTTCAAGTGAGTTTTATAGGGGTGGGGGAAAGTAGGGCAGTGTGTTGTAGTCGGGTGTTATAACAGTATTTGACTATTTAGTGCTGCCGTGGGACCTTTCCTGTCGCAGCCTGATAAAGTTGTGCATATGCATTTTCACCATAGCAATAGTTGACAGAAAAAGTTAAGGGGCCATGCCCTTGGCATTTGGAACAGTGGCTGAGGATCTTAACCCCTTGGCCGTTTTTAATTTCTGGAAATTTCTAATCCTTAACTGTTTGATTGTTGTCTTCAAAAATATATTTGTTGCCTTCAACATTAAATTTCTAACCACAAACAGAAGGGGAACTAAATTAAAAAAAAAAAAAAATTCGGAGCTACCATCTGTTGGCGTAGCCACAAACTAAGCTATGAGTAAGCGTGGTTTGTCTAAAATAGTTCAGTGCATGAACCGGGGAAAGCAGACGAGGTATACTTGTCCTGAAGGGTTTTTGGATGGCCCCACGTTGACGAGCTAGGCTCGTCCAAAGTGTTTAAAGGAACTGTGCAACGATTTTAATGTTAAAAGAATTTTCATCTTCTACTTTTGACATTGTTTGTTTTGTCACAAAGGACAGAAAACACATCTCCTTCCATCAAAATGTTGCGATTCCGCCACATAATCGCGAGTCAAAAATTAGAATATTACCCGACCTGCAGCTGCGAGTGGCGGCCATGAGAATCACGCGCGTGACGTCAATGGGGGCTTCTAAAGATAGCAAGTTGTGCAAATACCTGCTCGATAAAAGGTAATTTTTCTATAAATTTTGTCGTTCCAACATGAATATAAATGTGTCTAAAACCTGGTATCATCGACAAAACTTTTATTGTACGGAGTTTTAGTGGCGCCATCTATCCGAGATCAGCAAAACCGTCGGCTCTATCTGCTACCGCGAACAGCCGCCAGAAGACTGAGGGGAGACGGGGGGGTAGAGCCGGACGGGGACGGCCGGACCCGGACGGCCGGACCCGGACGTTGGCACTTTCCTCCTTTCTCCATGTTGATCGCACTGCACAAGCACGTGGTCACATGGTCGCGAGAGGGTGAGTTCTCGCTGCTCACTGATGGCTCTAGAGAGAGAGCTTAACTGGAACCCTGCGCGTCCCCCTTTCACGTCACTGTGGACGCGACTTGGAAGATGGTGAAGGAGTTGAGAGGTGCCGAAAACCTCAATCTTTGTCAATTTTTAAAATTGAAACTAGGACATACAGGCAAAAGCGGTTTTTTGTACTTTACTTCAGAAAGGGCAAAACACGAACTCCCAAATTATTTAAACAGAGCACTCAAATTGTTGCACAGCTGCTTTAAAGGACACATGCAAAGGAAAAAAACATGTTTTTTAAACAGCTTAGATGGAAAAAGGATGTCATAAAACAATTTTACAATGAAAAAAAAATTTTTAGAGCTATATTTACGGCGCTATACGAATTTGTAGTTGGTGCCCGCGGGAGCCGCTGCTGGTAATGTGGTAGGCCCGTGCACCGCTGCGCTGTGTCGCCACTGCCGCAGAGTCACCTTGCCGCCGCACGCTGAGCGTTGTGCGAACGCCGCTTCAACGCGTTTCTCCACGCTTCCGTCGCCGCCGCCGCACAAGTTCGTCTGCTTTGGGGTGCCGTCGCCGTCGTCTGACCGGCGCACAGGTCTATCATGTCTGCTTGCGCTTTTTCAGGAGTTTCCTTTGGGCTCTAAAAGTTATTTATTAATCTTAGTTTTTTGTTATATTTCAAACAAAGATGAATAAGTTACTTTTAGATGTCATACGAAGCTTCCGAAAGAGCGCAAGCACTACGTGATAAATAAGGGCCAGTCACGTGATAAATAAGGGCCTTTTTTCCGCGGCGCCCGCTGGCGCCAACTACAAACTCGTATAGCGCCGTAAATATAGCTCTAAAAAAATTTTTTCTTCGTTGTAATATTGTTTTATGACATCCTTTTTCCATCTAAGCTGTTTAAAAAAAATGTTTTTTTTCTTTGCATGTGTCCTTTAAAGGGGCACTAAAGAGGATTCTGTGATCGCCTGTTCTTGGTCATAACTAATTCTACGGGCCCTAAACATCCTAAAAATTAAAAAATTACAATCACACGACGCCGGTTTCTCTATTTAAAACGTGATGAAAGGTTGGAACAGACCCCTTTCTGAACGGATTTTTCTGCTAAGAATGTGGTGGGTCCCGATCTTTCATCACCTTTTTAATAGGAAAATCGGCATAGTGTAAGTGTAATTGTTGGATTTTTAGGATGCTTATAGTGTACAGTCGCCGACCGATTTTTCGAACGCCGACTTTTCGAACATGTCCGATTATTCCAACGTTTTCGCTGAACCGTCACTCACCCCATAGAGTTAATGTATAACACTGACCGAAATTTCGGATGCCATAAAGCTTATTGCTCAATATTTCGGACATAATTTGGGTGATTTCCTCAGTTCATAACCACGAAACAGCCGCCGCGACAGCCATTTTGATTTGGCCTTGTAGCCTCGATACCACGTCCTACGCAATAAAGAAGCTGGGTTGAGGCTATAGTCGGGTTTTCTGGTTCGGCTATAGCCAGCATGGCCGCCGTCTGCCCATTCTTATGGTTCTCTTCCAGTTCTTCTCGTGGTCGGTGTTTTTCGAGTGCGACCACGAGAGGAGTGGCTGTCTGGTCCTTGGTCTTTGAGCGCGAAGGTTTTTTGCCGATAGGCTTGGTATTGAAGTGAGCTTGGTGGACTAAACATTGTCTCCAAATAGTGCCAAATGACACCAACTTGAACTTCGTCGTTTGTGCCAACAAAGGCGCCGACAAAACGCAGCACTGTGATCAAGCAGATCAACAAACAAGTGAAAAGTGAACAATATAAAGTGGAAGTTGCATGAGAACATAAAATTGACATCAAGCAAGTGAAAAGTGGCCAATACGCAGTGGAGTATGCGCGGAAGTTCGATATTTTGGCTGAAATTGATTTTTCAGACCGCTTGATTATTCTGACAATTTTGGGGTCCCCTCCGATTCCGAAAAATCGGTCAACGACTGTATTTGTACGAGAGATGTATCTCTGCAGCGAAAACTTGATAAACTGGCTATGTCACAAACCTGCGAGGAGGATAAGCCGTAACAGTGGGGACGACACTCGGAGATAAGTGGGCTGGCATTCGCACGGCGGAGTCAGCTATGTTTTTCATCAAGGCACGGCAAAGAACAAAACGAAGAGCAAAACAGTGCGGGCTTGTTCGTCGTCATTTCTATCCGGACGAGGCGACGCGAGAGGCGACGGGTATTCTGCGAGATGCCGACAGGCCCTCCGCGGTTATCCGTGGGTGGGGGCAAAGAGTGACGCGAAACACGTGACCTCCAAACTCTATTACGTATACACCATTAGGGCCTGTGGAATAAGTTATGGCCAAGAACAGGAAACTGCAGAATCTTCTTTATTACCCCCTTTTAGGGGTTAATAAACATAGTTATAAGAATGGAAGTGGTTTCAGAGATTCTAACTGCATGCATCAGCTGTATTCAGTGTCTCATGAAAAATGGTGATATTATTCTGTTCATGTCACATTTGGAAAGAGTTGCAACTAGGAGTGACACCTGCCTTGTGCCTGCATGCAGCTGACTGCCATTTTTTAAAGGTTCCAAGTTCTGTAACAGTGGACATAATACTTAACATATAGGTATAATGTTTGGTTCTGAACCAAGTAGGAAAATTGTATTACTTGTTGTTTTGTTTCGGGTTGCCTTCAGCTGGTGAATACCAAGTAGCATCACCAGGGGACCTCTTGTGTGCCAGCCATCTTTCTGGTTCTACCAAAACGTGCCATTGTCACCCTAAAAGACAATGGCTCTTTTGCCTACCTCAGCACTGGTCTACTGTGATGAGTGCATTGCACTGACCATTGTATTCTCAGCACAGTACCACAAGTTGTGTCATGAGATCAAGTAGCAGATGTGGGGCTCTACAGTAGTTAGTGACATTATTCTACTGTCAACTGCTTTGTGGTCAGAATACTTAAATGTAGCACACAGGAAAGATAAGTTGTGCAAAATTGATCAGTAGGTGCTTGAAACTGTTATTGATGTCCCAATGCCCCCTTTTGTTTACTTGACTTTGCAGGCCAAGGAACTAATCAGGAAATATAACTTAGTGATGACAGATTTGGAAGAGAGCCCTGATGTGAGTATTCTATGTAATTATGTTGGTAGTCAGTGGCAGGTTAAGAACTCAGTAGATGCTCCACCAACAGGCGTAATGCGCCTGCTTTTTTTTTTCTTGAAAATAGTGGGTTGGTTGCACATTATGGACGATATTGGCAACGTTGGTTTCAGGCACGAGTGGAAGGAGTGAAGCTCGCTGCTGATGGAGCGGGATGACATCATTGCGAGGTAATACATGGCTATGGAGAATAGGATCATAGGATTGCCTCGTGTCGTCGATAGTGATGCCAGGACTCGATTGTAACTTTGACAGACTGCACCTCCAAGTGTGACAGTGGTAGGACAATACAATCATCGCTTACCTCAATTACTGTGCAATTGATTGCAATGACGAGACTTGGCAAAGGGTGCCATGTTTCACAGATGAATAACTACTGCCTTGAAGGCATCATTTGGGGGCATCCTTTATTAAAGCCAGCAGAAAAGCAGACAAAGTCACGGAACTTGGTGAATAAACATGGTTGTGGTGTCACTTGATCATCTCGCGCAGCATATACGTGGCAACCAAAGCATTTTCATGTCTTCCCGCAGAAACAACTGCAAAGAAACTCGCACGGTACGATTTGGCGACATAACTTGAGTCGGGGGTGATCAGCAAACCCACAAAAGAGAATCCATCGGAGCTGGTGAGGTGTGTGGACCATAGTCTTGTTGGTTGCTAGGCCTATCCACTTGACTAAGGCGCACACTGAACACTTGGATGGCAAGTAACATGACAGCAAGATTCTCACATTGTCGCAAAGAAAGTGCCACAGACAAAAGTGGACCGGCATGACTGTAACATAAACCTGGGTAGGTAAAGAGGTGGAACATTACTGAGATACCTGGTGCTCCTTCGTCGGCGTCACCTACCACTCTCACTGCCATATTGAAAAAAGAAAATTAGTCAAGACGTGATGTCATTGACATCAAAGAAATAAAAAATTGATTGGCTGGTGGTGTCATATAAATCCCTTTGAGGGGCATTTGCCACTGGGTTCTTAGCCTTTCACTGTCTTTAGTGCTCTGCATTTCTACTCTGCCCTGAAGACAGGAGGCTTTGGAAAGTAAGAGTCGATCGTTGCGCGAATGCACACTACTATGCATTTCAATAAAAGGTCCATTAAAAACAACAACAAAGAAACCCACCATTCTGCACCATATTGCCTTGTTTTTCCATGGAAAACATGTTGCATTATTTTGTCTCTGTATAAAATATAACATTTCGAAATGCACACATTTGGCTACTTTGACAGTTTTTCTTTATATTTGTGATTTATTGTCTGTGTTTGTTTTATGATATATCATTGGAATTTATTTCATATATTCGCATAATATATGTACATACTATATTCACATTGCCTGTATATAATTGTTTGCCCTAGTTTGTAAAGCAAAATATTTACAGCACTTCAAACATGTCCCGAGGCAAAAAGTTCCGCAACTTCAACGTGCGGTTAAACAAAAAAAGAACATATTTTATTTCTAAAAAGATTAAGGTGACACATTTTACACCCTATTCCATGTTTTTCCATTAAAACGTGGCATTCTTTTGTCTTTGCCTAAAATATAGCGCTTCGAAACGCTCACATTTGGCTACTTTGACGTTTTTACTCAATATTGGTGAGCTGTTACTCGTAACATTTTTTGTTAAGTTTTACTATTTAATTTTTCTCATATTCTCAAAGGGATCTATCGTCTAGATGTAAATTCTTACTCTAGTTTATAAATGAAACTATTGATGGTGCCTGTTATTGAAAATGACAAGGTTGTTATACCGTATATTGCCGCATATAAGTCAACCTTTTTTTCAGAAAATGGGTATCTCAAATTAGGGGGGTCAACTTATACGCGGAGTCGACCTATACGCGGGGCCTAAAAACGCGTCTAGACGAACGACAGATCCTAGGGACTTTTTTTCCTCACAAGGGACTAGTTTCGTGGTGCTCGAGAGCCAGCTAAGCCATTACCTGCATAAACTTGTTCTAAAAACAAAAATATAATATTTTTAAATCTTAATTTTATTTTATAACACCTTTAGTCGCATGAAACTATTAAAGTTGTATCAGGAAAGCGTTTGCGGTTGAATCATAAACTTATCTAGGGACTCCGTGGAGGAAACGTAGGGACTTGTACAGTCGCCGGCCATATGAGCTCCCCCGGCAGAACCCCGACCGGATCAGCGAAAATCCCGCACGCGGCGCGTCGAGCGTTGCCGCGTTTTGGGAGCCGGGCTATTGGGACCAAACCATTTCGTTATCAAAGGGGTGGACACATAGCTTTTATCGGGATTCCGGTCTTTCGAAATGTGAATCACAAAAACATGGCCGATTAGAATTGCCGTCTTCGGGTGTTGTCCCCAAGTGTTCGGAGATGATGTTATAACTGCTTATAAACTGGAGCTTGCTTTAGGCGTAGGTAAAGCAGCAGTGTTCGATCGATGCTTACAAATGTAAAAATCCTATGTTTGATATGACATTAGGCATGACAACAATGATCCCTCGGCAAGCCTGAAGTGGCCGACCAGGAAGCCATTTGCAAAATCATCGTGTAGAAAGTCACCCTTGGCGAAGCAACACGCTACTGAGCGCAGAGCAATACAGTCTCCTCGATAAAACGCGTTCATGAAAGGTGTCTGAATCTTTATTCTGCTTCGACACAAATCATTCTTTTTTTGTTATCTATAGCATATCCTTATAGATTAAATAAATTATTTCAAAATCGCTTGTCATTGTCTAGTCTAGGTTTAAGAAAGATTGTAAGAAAGGGGGGGGGTGGGGGGGGGCTTGCGCGTAGGATTACTCTTCGGGTAGGAACTGTTTAAAATTACAAACAGGTTTCTCAAATAAAAAAAGTATCATATAACACGTCAGAGATATTATGCAGTGAAGAATTTCGATAAACCGCCTGTGTTTACCTATACAACCGGAAGCAGGCTAGAAATCGGCCGTGCTTCTGATTCACATTAGAAAACGCGTAATGCTATTAAACTTCTTGCGTCCACCCCCTTGATAGCGTAATGGTTTGGTCCCAATAGCCCGGCTCCCAGAACGCGGCGACGCTCGACGCGCCGCATGCGGGATTTTCGCTGCTCCGGCCGGCGTTCGGCCGGGGGAGCTCATATGGCCGGCGACTGTACCTAGGTACACAAGCAAAAGCACGCGACCGCGGCCATGTCAGACCCTTGTTTGTCACATGTCTGTTCAGTAGCCTTCACGAAGTGGAAGAAGATGCCGCCTCAAGCTAGGCGTCAGTACAGCGCGGCGTTCAAGAGGAAGGTTATTTTGTTCGCTGAGGCGGCGAACAACGTCGCGGCGGAGCGTCACTTCGGTGTCTCAGAGAAGTGCGTGCGGGGATGGAGACAACAAAGGCAGAAACTTTTTGCTTGCGCGGGTGCGCGTCGGTCCTTTCGGGGCCCCAAACAAGGCCAGTACCCTGCGGTCGAGGAGGTTGTTCTGCGATGGGTCACGGAGCAGCGGAGCAGAAGCCTCAGCGTCTCGTACGACGACATAGAAAGCAAGGCGCGCGCTGTTGCCAACGAAATGAAAATTGGACGGAGCGAGTTCAAGATTTCAAAAAAATGGATCACGAACTTCATGAGGTGATGTGGCCTGAGTTTAAGAAGAAAAACAACAGTTTGCCAGCGGCTGCCCGACGCCTACGAAGAGAAATCGCGGGCATTTCATCGATACGTAACAGAAGTAAGAACGAAGCACTCCCTCATGCTCGGCCAGATCGGCAACGCTGACCAGACGCCGGTCTGGTTCGACATGCCGAGTAGGACGACTGTCACCGGCAAGGGAGAGCGCCAAGTTCCCCTCCTGACGACTGGGAACGAGCACAATCGTTTCACGGTCATGTTGTGCTGCACAGCAGACGGCCACAAGCTGCCTCCCTTCATCGTCTTCAAGCGGAAGACATTGCCAACTAAAGAAGTGTTTCCGCCGAAAGTTATTGTTCGAGTGAATGAGAAGGGCTTTTTTAATGAAGAGACCGTACTCGAGTGGTTTCTCCTCGTTTGGTGCAGGCGCCCGGGTGCGCTCCTGAAACCCCGGAGCATGCTCGTGTTATGTCACATTCAATTGGGGCGCACGCAGCACCGAGAAAGTGCTGCCCCCAAGGCCGCGCCACCGCGCGGGTGCAGCGTATGACGCACTACCAAGTGAACACGAAGCATTCCGCCGTGCAACGCGTTTGGCGCGGTCACTTCAAGGGCAAAACATAAACGGCTGGACCACTGAACAAAATCCGCCGCGAGTGGGGCGGCGGCGCGAGCCATCTAGCGAGAGTCTCCCGAGCCGCCATGTTTACCGAGACGAGGAAGACGAAGCGAGGGAAAGAAGGGGCCGAAGGAGGCGGAGAGCGGTAGCTCAAGGTCGCGCCGGCCCGCAGTGCGCGAAGCTGCACGGTCTCCTTTCGACGGTGCAGCTGGTGCAGCAACGCGCCGGTGTCGTGCGTCGCACCAAGTCCCAAATGAACGTAGTGCAGCCGCACCGACACGACCATGTGAACGCGACGCGTCCGTTGGTGCAGTGCGGTGCGGTGTGGTGCGCCCCAATTGAATGTGACATTAGACTCGTTCCGCGCCCACATTACGGATCGCGTGAAGAAGGTGGTGGCGAATGCGGGTTGCGACCTGGCAATCATTCCAGGCGGGATGACGTCGGCTCTCCAGCCCCTCGACGTGGTTTTAAACAAACCATTTAAAGATCGTGTTGGAGCATTTTACAACGAGTGGCTGAGCCGGGAGGACAACCCGACGACTCCGACAGGCCGAGTGAAGCGCGCGTCTTTAAGCACCGTGGCGACCTGGTACGGATTACCGGATGAGATGGTTTGCGAGGCCTTTTCGAAATGCTCAATATCGACGCCGCTTCAGCCGACCGAGCGTGCTGACCCGGACTCTAGCGACAGTGACTGCGTCGTAGTGTCGAGCGATGATGAGTAAACCACCGTTTACTTCTGCGTGTAAATATGTTTCCATGCCAATAAACAAATTGTTTTCTAATTTCCCTAACTCGTATGAGAAATTTTTTTTTTCGTATCGTAGTCTGAAGAAATCGACTTATATTCGGGAGTCGACTTATATTCGGAGTCGACTTATAATCGGCAATATACGGTAATTGTTTGTAGAAATGAAGCTATGCCTTCCAATTTCCTAAGTTTAAATCATTAAGCAATTTCAAGCTCGTTACTTGAAGGCATTGATATTTCCAGCTTACTTTTCAACAAACCTCTTCATTCATCACACACACTATTGTTTGCCTGTGCAGAAATCACCTGCCTTGTTAATTCCACTGTAGCATATGTGCGACACTGCCTCACCTGAGCAATTGAGCATTAAAAATAATTTCTTGTTCAAGTAGCAGTGAATGGGTTGATTGAGTGATCACATCCAGCGACAAAGTATGTAGAATGGGGCACAAGACAATATCTTCGATATGCATCCCAGAAACATAGCATCCCAGTTATTGTCAAAATGTTTGTTAAATCTGCCTTTGAAGGGACTACAGGTTGTAGGCATCTAGATTTTGGGTTGCCATTCCTGTGCAGTTAGATGTTGCTATCGATGGCGCTGACGAAGTGGATGCCAAGCTGACATTGATCAAAGGTGGTGGTGGGTGCCTGACCCAGGAGAAGGTCATTGCATCTTGCGCCAAACACTTCATTGTGGTGGCCGATTACAGGTGTGGTGTTTTCTTCATTTCCTTGAATATTGCACGCACTGGGCCACCATATACAATGCTTTTAACTTTTGCTGCGAGTTGGAAAGTTGTCTCGTCCCATTTTCATCCCTTTTGACTGCTCTCCGATATTTTGTTTCCTATAATAGTAATGGCATGCTCCTTCTTGAAGATAGGTATTTTCCCTTCAGTATGGCTTTTTAAAATGGCATTGACTTATTGGAACGTTTCAAGAGCTTTGTTTTAATTTTTGTATTGAAAATGCTTCAGGCTCCATGTTTGTGGCAGCACCATTGCGCTGCCATCTCTTGGAAACTTGCTAACTTTTTTCTGTGCTTTCTGCTTCCTTTTCTGGCTAACTTGCGAACAAAGTTCAGCATTGGAAGCTCTTGAAAGAAGACATGTTGAGGGGATGCACTGTGCTATTTTTTTTTCCTTTTTTTGCATGCATGTATTGCTGTTTAAAAATGAAAAACAGTGCAAAGACATGGACAAGAACGAGAAGGTAGGCAAACAACAGCGCTGTTGAAAAGGCAGACGAACAGCAGCACTGTTCATCTATCTTCTCGTTCTTTTGTCCGTGTCTTTGCGCTGTTAGCCACCGCGGTGGCTCTGAGGCAAAGCGCCGGTCTACGGATCCCCAGATGGCGGGCTCAAATCTCGGCTGAGATGCCTGCACTCTGACAGAGGCTTATTGCAGAGAAGGTGCCATATAACCGAACTTTCAGTTGCGTGCCAAAAGATCTCCAAGAGGTCCAAACTAATCCTCAATCCCCCGCTGGGGCTTGCCAGATTCCCGTCGTTGGTTTGGCTCGTACAACCCCCAAATTTGTCTTTGCACCGTTTTTAATTTTTAACCATGAAATACCAACTAGCCCAAACGTCAACGTTAGTCAGCTTCTTACAAACTATCTTACAAACTATCTAGGCATTCTGGTTAATCACAAAAGTTTTCAAATCAGTATTAATTTGGATGTAACTCAGTACACTACGAAGTGTGGCAACGAAAATTTCATACTGAAAGTGAATTCTAATTTCTGACCTCTAAATTCGATAGCCTCTTGGATTCAAGGTGCATCTCCACTACCTCACTGGCACACTCACTGTCGCTTCATTTCAGTCATTGGGTCTGGGGCATGGCCTGTGTAGGGCATCCGTTGCCACAAAACATAATTCTAACCCTTTGCTGTCATTAACCATTTCCAGTCAGAAATGTGCTAAGGCTCAAATGCTAAGCTATGAGGTGCTTTAGAGTTGTCCGTGTGACTATGAAGCACCTTTGGGTATAAGCGGGGAAAATAGTACCTCTATTGGCGAGGAGATCGAGCTATAGGGAGCGCGATGTCCAGCTTGTTTTCCCCCCAGAGCTCTGTGTTTACCAACGCAAGGCACGTGTACGTGATTGTTTACTTAATTTTCCTCGCTTGAGCATGGTGCAAAGATTGGGCACGACTTGGGCCCAATTTTTAGCTGCATTCGCATTCAGCTTCACTAATTGGACATGATCCCCAGCCGAACGCTGACGCAACGTTCGGCTGCGTGGGTCGAGCGGTGCGTCAAACACAATTAAGTAATCTATGTTGTTGTTGTCCCCACTGGTGAAGTTCTCAATTTAGCCACTAGGTGCTTACGAGTCGCACGTTTGTCCCACTCTAAGCACTTTTCAGAGCTACGTGCTTGTGCGTGTTCCCTTTCGGGCTCTTCACATAATCTGTAAAATACCACGGAAGCACCCATTTCGGTCAAGTGCCCACTATTAACAACCGAACAAGCACCCATGTCTAGATTAACCCAGTTTTCAGTGAAAGTAAGGTTGGGCGCTACCCCAGTATTTTACGGTAGCTAATAAATTTAAAATGAGTTTTGTGGCTTAAAACTGTGTTGTAAAAATTCCTCGTTTTATGCTTTTAGCTAGGTTGGGAAACCGAGAGAGGAGGTATGCATGATTTTTCAGGAAGGATTCGTCCAACCTGGGTGAAAATTGGAAGAAGGGAATACCTGTGGAAGTGATACCCATGGCGTATGTTCCAGTCCAGAAAAAGATTGAGAAGCTTCTGGGAAACAAGGCAGAGCTGCGGCAGGCTGCCAAGAAATGCGTAAGGAGTCTGAATATTTTGCTATTTCCCCTGCTATTTTAAAGGTATAGTTCAACGAAATCTGAGATATACCCGTCGTGTTCACAAATAGGCTGAATATGATCCACAATATCCGTAAATGACAATTGCATGTTTGTATTTTGAGCCTTATGGCTCTCTCTTGTCTCCCGTGCAAAATGGCGCCGTGTTGTTTGAAGACCGGTGGCGTCGCGTTTCCAGAGGAGCTAAGCCTTTTTCTTTCTTTACTTTTTTCTCAGGTAAGTTCGCTCTTTGCAAATTTTACAAAAAAAATGCACCATCTGTGGGCAACGCTGCACAAAGTCGTAGCGCGATAGGTTAAGAAACTGAATTTTGTGGTTGATTTAAAGAGTCTGGCGTCTCCTTGAATCACCCTGTAGAATGTTTAGACAGCTAGTGGTTAGTCTGCGTCAAGGGGCATCTGATATTCCTTGCAGTAGATGAGAAATTCAGCCGGTGCAGTACCACTTCTATCGTATTTACTCGAGTAATAGCCGCATGGTTTATGAAGAAAATCTGAGAGTTCGCTTTTCCACGGAGCACGCGGATTGCCAATCACCGCGATCGACAGCATGATTCCAGCGGTTTACAGGACAGAGATGATGTCTTAGCGCGAAGATACCATCTGTGAAGATTGCATTTGTATGGAGACTCGTGTTCTCGATCTAGTTATTCGGTATGTTATTTATGCGCAACGCGATGATTGGCTGTATATATGCTTTGCCTGAAAGTAGACGCAAGGGGCTTGTTCGTAAATAGTGCGGCTATTACTTGAGTAAATACGGTAACTGGCGGTTTTTAATGTGCATCACACAGCAGTAGTTACACGAATGCGCGCCGGTACGATGACCATCCGTACCCAAATAGGCAGAGGCGGGGGTTGAGCCTAGGCTCCCTGACTTCTGCAGTGCAAGCTTTCCTTCCTCATACTCTTAGCTGCGGTATTTGACACTTAGCCACCAACCCCCTTATTCTGGTTGTAAGAGAGTACATTCATCAATCAACGACACCAAAAAATTTTGTTGCAGTTTTTTGTCTTGTTTGTGCAAGTGCATAAACAAAAACAAAATGGTCAAGACAATGACACAACCGTTTTGAAAAAACAGGGTTATGGCTTATATAGATGTTTTAATCATTTTACATTGCCGTAAAATACCGAGCATCCGCCCATTCCACAATGAGCGCCCACCCCTCAGTTTTGTAACATTCGTAAAATGCACAAAGGACATATCTTTGCATATTATTGTTGACCTAAGGAGCACCCATCCCCCAGTTTTACGTGATTATCTCCAAATTTTGAGTGCGCTTGCCTGGGATTTTACGGTAAGTGTAGGCACCCAGGCCCGCAGGTTGAATCAAGCCTGCGGCATGTTTTCATCTCATCTGCATCAGCCCCAAGCTGGGAGTGGTTTATTTGGTTCTGCTTTAGTTGCCAAAAATCTTCTGAATGAAGAAAAAGTTTAACAAGCTTTGAAGTTTATACACTACACTACAGCTGTCAAAACATGTTTTCATGATGGTACATTTTAAATAAAACAGATCATCATAGTTTTAGTTTTTCTCCTTTTCTTAGAAACTCCGTGTGTTTTGTATCCTAAAACAGATTCCAGAAAGGGACTATATGTGGTGAGATAGTCATGCAAGAAGTTAATAGATAGCTCCAACGGACAATGTATCTGTTTTTCCTGAGGGGCTCGCCTATTGGCAATCCATCTAGTGGTTGCTATGTCATGGCTTGGTTCATTTTCAGCCTTTGACGTAAGACCCATCCGATATGAGCAACAGGTGGAAGGATAGCATTAAGAACGCAAAAACGGGAACAATCGGAGCTCGCAATAAGAAGTTACCACATTTGCTTTTGGCTAAAGGTGAAGGACTATTAATCGAATAGTGCAGTGTCATTCCTAGCTTCGACACTGAGGAGAGAGACTGTCTGTTGTAGGTTTTCCTTGCAATCGGAAGGCTCTGAATGGTGCAGCTTCATTTGTGCTACTCTTTGTGTCACTCTATGGTTAATGTAAAAAAAAAATTAAAAATAGAGCACTACTGCATTTTTATTGCGGCGAGCACCTAAGAGCCACAATTTTTCGTGCAATCGAAGAATAAAAAACAATGAACATGTGTAACAACAGACCTGTGCAGTGCCATAAAAAAAAAAGAAAAGCAGCTTTTTTTTTTTTTTACCAATGCTTGCTTGCATGATCGATGGGCTTCTTTTCCTCCATCTTATCAAGTACAAGCACAGCTGATGGGTTGCTTTGACGGGCCTCTCCTCCCGTCAGCTGCGAATGGAAACGTGGATAAATGAAAGGAGTGCCAAATTATAGGCTGGTGTCTGCCAGAAAAAATATGTACAGTTGCATGGAGCTAACTGTTTGCATGACTATATACAAGCTGGTTACTCTGGTTCCATTGAAATGCACTATTCTGCCAATCATACCCTCTAATCGATATAGGCAATGACTTGATAGGGGTAAAGCTGTGCTGAAAATATAAAAGATATTTGGGCAGGCTTCAAATGGAAAGGGACTTTTAAAATGAACCCTGCAATGTCACAAGACCTAACCAAGAGGGGTGAATCCCTCGTGCATGTCATCTGCTGGTGCAAAGCACCTCTGCACTGTCTTACTTCCTCAAGTGGCATTTTTACCGTCAGTCGGGATTTATCTCCTATTCCACATGCATGGCCCTCATGAAATTATCTGCAGCAATTTCAAGAAGGGGGACCGTTTTCGACACTGCATAGACACAGTCTTTGTAGTTAAGGCTATTTCAGTGCTGTGCAATTTATCTCTTAATCGTGGTTACGGAAAAACTAAAAATGTTAGTATGAAACAGATGTCCATACAAATGCACTTGTCAATTCAAAGAAAGCAAAACACAAACAGGGGACAGAGACAGTCATGTACAAGCTTGTACATGTCTGTCTCTGTCCCCTGTTTGTTTTGCTTTCTTCGTATTGACTATTAACCCAACATGGTTGTCAAACTCATCAAATTAGCTTGTATTTTCACACTCTCAATGTGACGACTCGTTATGCAATTTTTTAATGCAAAATTTGAAGCTGCGCAAAAAGCCGAGCCAAACGGCAAATATATTCACCTCTCCCAGTGGAGCTGAAATCTCATTGATAGTGCTCCCATGGGCTGGCGCACATCCTAGTTTCAAGGAACGAGGCTCCCATTGGCCGAGGCACGTCAATTTCAAGGAGAGCCACCCCATGGCGCTATGTGTCCGCGCCAGTGCACACCAAGAAAAGGAAGTGTTTGGCTGGCGAGTCTTCCAGAGAGAGCCCGCTCGAGCATACTCCGGAGCACGGCGTGGCCACTTCATGAGAATGCGCGCAAGATTGACATTCATGCTTTCACATTCACAACTCATAGGAAGTGCTGAGGTGTACCTCGAGCCTTTTTCTGAGAGCGGCTTATTTCACTTCCTTTTCAATGCTGCTCCAACACGAATTAAGGCTTCAAGGCTTGCCTGTATTTAGATTCTGCTTTTGGAGAGAATTCTTTATCAAAATAAATATCTTCCACTTGGCTTTTTTTTCTCTTTCTTTATGATAATACTGGTCAAGCCTTTAATTTATTTTGTATTCGTTGCGGGTGCCGTTGAGGTTCACACAAGCCGTCTTCCGGCCAGGTTGCCTGCCCCTTAAATTTGTTGAGCATCTTGCGTTAGGTGGCCAGGCACTATTGGTCACACACTTTCATGCGTACAAAAACAGCTAGACAAAGTACTGTGAATGACCTAATTTTCGCGAATTTCACAAATCGCCTACAATTCACAAAAAATAGGTCCCGTGAACAATTCCGGTAAAATGTAAACACATTGGAATCTATAATGAGATCCCACCGTGTCACGAAAATTAGAACCTGCGAATTATCACAAAACTTCAGCTTTGACTTAAATCGCGAAATATTGAGCCTGCAAAAAGTAAATTGTTTACTGTATGCACCAGGAAATTCCTGGGATGTGGTATACGACAGTGATTTTTGTCAGTCAATATATTACTGTTCTCTTGAATCCATTGCAGCATGTCATCCTTGCTTTTGAAGCATAACCATTACTGATCAATTTTCTGTGCTGGTCTCAGATGCTTTGTATAGACTTTGTTCCTTCTCAATAAAAATTTTGCATTATTTCTACCAACTGTTCTTATATTTATTTGTTTTTCAGGCACTTGGTATGTTCATTTACTATCTTGAATAAACGTTCTGATAGGATGATGTGCAATATTCAAATGGCATCTTATTTTTGTTTCTGCTTACTAAGTCGAGCTAGATACTTTCAGGATGACGCCGTTGCCATTAAACATAACAGAGAAGGAGCAGTACTTACTTTTCAACTTTTTAGTGGTTATTTTGAGGTCAAATGCTGTTTTCTTTCTCTTAGAATATAGATATGATCATCTTGTCACCCGCTTTTCAATTGGAAACGGGGAAAATGTTTTGAAACGTCAGCTCTACATTTGTACTCTCACCTTTTGGCTGCGCTCATTCTTTGATGTGCAATGTGGCTAAAAATATTTTATATAATTAAATGCCTACGAAGTTTTGAAAATGGCAGGGTAATATTTTCGAGTGTAAATGTCTTTATTGACTGGATGACACCTACAGTTCAACATGATTGTAAATGTGTGACACTGACTAATTCATTGCGTTTATGTGACTATGAAGAAGACAATTGAGCTGAATTTGAGACCTTCTTCTTTCCTTTGACATTCAAAGGTTTTTGTATTTCGTTTACCCCAGACGGGTAGTTTTATGACATTATTAATTTCTATCAGCTCGTCCACACACTTACTGTATTTCTGAAATATTTTTGTATCTTTGGAAATATAATATTTTCCTGCACTAATATTTATGTTTTGTATTCTCACGTAGGGCCCTGTGGTAACTGATAACGGAAATTTTATACTGGATTGCAAGTTTGCACCCCAAAGCAACTGGTCAGCAACTAACACAGCCTTGAAAATGATTCCTGGTGAGTTTTTGATGTGGTGTGATAAATTAAAACAATTAAAAAGATATGAATTTTTTTTAAATGTTATTTGATAATGTAGGTTTGCTGAAATTTCTGGCCCGTTGGCAAAGTAATCTATCGCAGGTCATTTTCTAAAAACAAAATGTGCAACTAAAACTTTGTAATCCCTCTATGAAGGTACAGACTGTTCCAATAAAGGGCTCTTGGCCTGTGTCATTTTCAGTATCCTCGCCTATGGCAAGTGCTTTGCTCGCTTGTTGAAGCGACAAATGCGTGCACACTGGGCTGTGGAGATCGCGCGCCCAGTTGTGGATTCGTTAACTTTGAGTGGTGTCTGCTCTTGGCTTCTAATATTCTCTGGTTCGGTAGCTCTAATGTAAAACATAAATTTTTCACACGAAATACCGAGTTTTACTTTTGTTTTATTCGGCTCCATGGTCATATTGTGGCATGGCCCACTTATTTGCGATACCTAAATGGAGATGAACGAGATAACCAGACAAAGGAAGCACCTGTAGGTTTGGAGCTGAGGTTAGAAAGTGCAACGGGGTAGAGGTCCTTAGAGTGATAAACTGGCAGTTGAAATTGACCCCTAATTGGCCGCCGCCATGTTGCACACTTTTTGACCCACGTTACCTTATAGTTTTACGTCTAGATTTTAACAAAGTACCGTATACAAATAATTGCTTATTGATCTTTAATAACAGTACCGACGAGGTAAGTTATGTTTTGTTTGTTTTAAGTCCAAAATGTGCTTTTATGACAAAAACTCGGGCAGCTTCGCAATGCCTTTGCTAGATGCTGTCAGCCGCAGTGCTGTATTCTGGGCTTTTATCGGAGCTAGACATGGATCTCTGGGGCCAACACTATTGAAAAAATAGTTTATCGTGTTTACAGCGATTGCAATACAAATCTTGGCTCAGCTTTGCGTAAGAGCCTCAGGAGTCGGTGCAGTCATGTGTCTAGTAGTCAAAATTCTACAACATGGCAGCAGCCTAGTGGGAGTCGCTTTTGCTTGTTGAACAGGATACCAGTTTATCGCTCTAAGCCCCTCACCTTGTTAAGAAAGTCCAAAAACTACTTTTGAGCATGTGGAGCATTTCTTCATTGGTACCTAGCGGTGAAGTTTCCTAAAACTACCTGCCTGTTTCGAAGTCAGGAGACATCCCCCAAATTTGTTTCCTTGCATGTTGAAGAATCCAATATACTGGCATTAGGCAGGGCTGGATAATTATAAACAGTTTTGGCACACCTTCCTAGAAATGGCTACATTTAGGGTCAACATTATACCATATACCAAGGTGGTGCTTTCTTTGGATCTCGAGGAAGACAAGTTTAAAATTTGTGAGTCATGGGCACATTAATAAACTGAGCATTGATCAGAATTAGGGCTTGGTGTTTTCGGTTTAAACTGATCAGAACTGATAAACATACCATATTTTTTAATGTATAAATCTAAGCTTTTTTTTTTTTTTTTTTAATTTTTTAAATTTTTTTAGCATTTTTTATACTCCTCACAAGTGGGCTCATTTTCATCTTCTGTGCATGAGAAAGGAAGTAGCGGTGACGTCAGAACGCCGAGCCCTGATTGACTGATAGCGACCCTCTATCTCAGCGTCTTCTGCTCCTTTGCAACGTCGCCCGCTCGCATCATCGTCTGCGTCTGTCTTACCTTTCCTGCGACTTTCGGAAGTGCAGGTCTTTACGAGCGAGCGCGACTTCGCCTTTCAGAGAGGGCAGACAAAATAACTCGAGCGGTACGTTGTTTTTGTCTAACAACTAGCAGACGCGCATCAAGGAGGGAAGTCAAAGGACTCACTGGCGAGGTGTCCCGAGGCGCCGAGGTTTGTTTGCTAAGAACCGAGAGTGAGCGTGTTAGTGTCCGCAAGTTCCCTCCCAAATACTTTTTCCCTCTTTTCGTGTGCGGCGAGACCCCTCATTCTTTAACGGCGTCGGCGGGTTGGCGCAGTTGACGTCGTCTGCTTTACGTCTGCTAGTCAAAGGGATGGCTGCTTTACCTTTCCTGCGTCTGTCGGAGATTCACTGCTTTTTCACCGGCGAGAGTCACCGTTGCCTCGGGAAACAGGGAGATAACAAGAGGAAGAAATTGGCCTCTTAATCTAAAATTGAGGTCAGTGATCAAAGTATAATACGGGAAGGGTTCACAAGGGTTGCGCGGACATATTCCATTGAGCACGCCAGCCGGTCGTGGGCAGACGGTCGCCGAGTCGCGTAGTGCCTGCTAGGCCTAACTGCCGAGCTCGCTTGGTTGCGTTCGGTGGAATCGTGGCCGTTGGAGCTTTTCCCGGGTGTTTGTGGATCCAGCGTTCTTGTTCGTCGTGGTCTGTTTCAAGTATTTTTTACTTTTTCCTTGCTGCTTGAAGTCGGGACGCGTGAGAAGTGCACATAGAAAAATAAACGTCCGTGGGTCGTCGCAACTGCGACGCTGTCGGCCATGCTGATTTGATCGTAAGAAGTGCATAAGACAGCTTCGGAGCTGTCGTAGGATTTCGTCGTAACCTGCGCAAAACTTACGAAAATATTGTTTCATGAATACGAATTTGTTCTTAAGTTTTGTCTTACGCACATTTTTGGCGTAAGATCGTTTTGTGAATCTGGCCTCTCCACTTCCGAAAGTCGCAGGAAAGGTAAGACAGACGCAGACGACGTTGCGAGCAGACGACGTTGCAAAGGAGCAGACGACGCTCAGATAGGCGGTCGCGATCAGGCAATCAGGGCTCGGCGTTCTGACGTCACCACCACCCCCTGCGCAAGAAGCAGACGAACTTGCCCTCTGCATAACATCGTGACTTGTATGTTTTTGTCTTTTATAAGTTTGGACCTTAACTGAGCAAGATGTGGGCTGAATTGACATTTACAATAGAGGAATGGCAGAACACCCGCGGATGGCCTGCTCTGCGGTGGTTTGAAGAAGAGTCTAGATCCATCAGATGTAGCTTGCGGTTACTGCGAGTCGACTTTCCTTCATAATCTGCTCCAGGCAAAATGGTGGCTACCTATAGAAGCCACCATATTGGCACATCAAAACGAGTTTATCACAGGAATTTTTTTTCTTGTTTGATTGTTCGGTGGGAATATTGAAACCTTCTCCCGCTTGTGCACATATTTAATTCAATTCAATTTTTATTTCAAATCAAGTCGTACAAAATAAAGAGCTGGCCCACAAAAGCAGCATTCTACTTGTATGTGGGGCCATGCGACCAAATGAAATACATGTTGCAATCACAGTACGCATATGTGGGCTAATCAATGCAGTTTCACTGTGCCGACTGTACAAAGAGTGCATCTTATGTAGTAGAACCTCATTGATACATTCTCGGTTCGTTTGATTTTCTGGTTCATATGCTCACGATTAGAGACACCAAAAATGTCTCGCATTTGCTAGTTTTTCTTTGGTTCATACGTTCTTGAATGATACTATATCCCGGTAAGCACCTTCAACATTTTGCCAAACATAGATCGGGTGGTACGTCTTTTGTGAATAAAACGGCGAAACCCTGTTGCGCGATTATCTAATTCCTGTTCAGTTTGACACTCGAGGGTTTCAGCAAACCTGCCGCCATGCTGGAAATCGCATTCGTTTCGCAGCAAATTATGTAAAGTATGCGCAGTGTGAAGAGACAGTCTGCTTTATTAATATTGTGCAGTAAACTTTATCAGCAAGGATTTGGCTCACCCAGTTTACTAGACGTAGCAGTAATGTGATTGCTCCTGCTTTACTGATTGCTGCGCTATTCCTGAAATCATGGACGTTATAACAAAAAAACTAAAGCCGAAATTATCACCTGGCTCAGGTTCTATTCCAAATTTCATTGTTAAAGGATGTTCAAACATTGTTTGTTTAAAATATTAGAGCATATCTTTAATCTTTCCTTGTCTGCTATTGTTTTTCCATCAGTGTGAAAAGAGTCCACTGTTGTGCCTATTCTTAAGGCGGGAAATACTTCAACCTTAAATCAGTACCGTATTTACTCGAGTAATAGCCGCACTGTTTATGAAGAAAACTTGAGGGTTTGCTTTTCCCCGGAGCACGTGGATTGCCAATCATCGCGATCGACAGCATGATTCCAGCTTTTTACAGGACAGAGATAACTTCTTCGTGCGAAGATACCATCTGGGCATGTTGCATTTGTATGGAGACTCGTGTTCTCGATCTAGTTATTCGCTACGTTATTTATGCACAACGCGGTGATTGACTGTATTTGTGCTTTGCGGGAAAGTAGACCCAAGGGCCTTGTTCATAAATAGTGTGGCTATTACTCGAGTAAATACGGTATTATCCTGTATCTCTGCTTTGTTTTTTTTCAAAAGTATTTGATATTGTAATGCATGCACGCATGTCTTTTTATTTTGGACAACATATTATTTTCCATCAGCATGGTTTCCTTTTAAGGGTCATTCTGTTGAGACAAATTTTTCTAGCTTTCTAGAATATTCAGTGCCTCATGTTTTAAATCGTGGTGAAGTTGATTTTATTTATTTTGATCTACCGAAGGCATTTGATAAGGTGAATCGTGCTTTGCTTTTAGAGACACTGTCACTGAACGGGTTTTCATTAATTATCCTAAAGTAGTTTGATAGCTATCCGACTGACCGTCAACAAGTTGTCTGGGTTTTAAATAGCTTTTCAAACCCCTTCTGCCCGTCGTCAGGAGTACCACAGGGCTCCAATTTAAGACCTCTTGTTTCTCATTTTTATCAACGACATTGCCACATGTGCAATAAATTAAAATGTTTCGCTATTTGCTGATGACATTAAGCTTTCTTTGGACAATTCACTCACTCGATGACTGCAGGGATGTGATTGCTATGCCATTTGGGCCAAACTGTGCCAAAACGCTTGCCCTGCTACATCCTGCTACATTTTGCCAAAATATGAGAAATTTGTGCCAATATTGTGCCAAAACTTAATTTCACTTTATTAATATTGAAAATATATAATAAATTGGGCCTCGCTACATGGCTGGATCGCTACGATG